CCTCTATCGCCAGTGCCACAGATATTTAACTTACTGACTGAGAGTGAGGGCCGTACGGGAAAATATCAAACTGAGGTCTTGCTGTATAGACCGAGCGATAACGAGTCAATATAGCAAGACCGAGGTTTGATATTTTCCCTTACTGCCTGAACGGTCGAGGACGTCAGTTAACTTTTTATTACTGTATATGGCATTGTACATACGTTTGTAAAAAAAATAAAAAACATGGTGATGCGAGTACAAAGTGCGAAACATGTGCAAAATGTCAATTGTAAAAATTTATCTTTGGTTAGTGAAACTTCTTTACAGCACCTTTTATAGAATGTTAATAATTAATAGAGTTTTGGAAAGTATTTCAAGAAAATTACGAGATACTTAGTATAGGATGGTTTCAAATGCAATTTAGATAGAGCATGCACGAGTGAGTTTTTCAAAGAACATCAAAATAACACGAGTCCGATGGACGAGTGCTATTTGAAGTCTTTGAAAAACTCACGATTGCTTGTTTTATCCAAATTTATTAATAATATATACATAAAAAATTTCGAGACAATTGTAGTTTTAACTTATGGTTTATAGCGAACCGTTTCACTCGAATATGTAAGTTTTGCTAGCCTTGTTTAAGGTAAAGTCTTTTGAGAAAAGATAATGGCATATTCTCCACCCGACCTCAACTTTTACGTATGTAGCGGGGTCGCCATGTTTGTTTTGTTTTGAAGCAATCTGTGACCGTTACTTGACGCATGCTTTAAGATGATTAATTGATTTTAGATCACTGTTGTTACAGATTTTTGCAGTGTTATTACAGATTTTTGCACTGTTGTTACAGAATTTTGCACTGCCTTTGAGATTAACTGCACTGAAATCAACCAATCACAGTCGATTAATATTTTATGTATATTATTAAGATAGGTATTAGTATGGTTTCGAGTGCAATTTGGAAAAAACATGCACGAGTGAGTTTTTCAAAAACTATCAAAATTGCACCAGTCCGAAGGACGTGTGCCATTTGGAGTCTTTGAAAAACTCACGAGTTTATGTTTCTCAAATTGCACGAGAAACCATGCGATTACTTATTAATAATATACAGTACATGAAAACATTATGCAGTCACGTGGAAATTATTTTTTCATTCCTTTGAATTACACAACAACGGAATAAACAACAAATATACAACTGTCATGCACTCTGCAATATTTTAAGGCAATCATGCAGAAAGCCTAAATAGTGAATGACATTTGCACCGTATCACTAATGAGTAGTGGACCCTCAGGCGAATAATTGTTTTTAACGAATAAAATAAAAATCTTCAAATATCAGTTTAATTAAAATTCAGAATTAAAACTATTTTCGGCCTGTTCACGTTTCGGTTACTGTTTTAGTGTTGCAGTGTTCCTTTTACGCACACGCTTTCAAAATGGCTTCCTGTGTGACTTTATTGCTTTATTGTACAAAGTTGTTTTTTTTCGATTTCTGCTTAGAATAAAAACACAGTGATGGAATGACTTTTTACCAGACTTAGAATTAAAAAATAGTTGCTATGTTTAGCCCTAATTTGTTCAGGAAATGGGAAGCCTCGCGCAGTGCCTCGGAAGGCCGTCTCCAATTGGATGGGGGTTTTCTAAAGAACGAAGCAATTCATTGTTATGAACACAAAAGCAATTGTCAAATCGAGCCAATAAAAATCACTCTTCCGAGCCACTGCGAGGCTAGCCAAGAAAGTGGCTGCATGAGAAAATTGGTAAATTGAAATGTAAAACTTTTCTCGAAGTAAGGTTTTTAGTGCAGAGTTTCTTTGAAACTGTGCACTATTGTGATGAGTGGCGAAAATTCACATCTGTCATACATCAGATATCATAGAGTAAACTTTCCGGGGGGTGTATACGATTTATCGTCGTGGTGATTTATTCTACTTAGTCAGTGCTTTGAAGTTCAGTTGTCTTATTTAAATACTTATTTTGTCCTTTTGCCAAGTTCACAAAAATTTCCAGGAATTGTTGTTATTGCAAATTTTTGTCAATTTTATAACATTTGCTTCTCCGTGTTGTGTGAAAGATCTTTCCCCCGGAACACCCATTTTTTCTTTAGCAGCGCAAATGCGCATGTGCTATCAAGCTGTAGATCACGATGGCGTGACGAATGACGATGCTAGGAAGGAGCGACACTGCCGAACAGTGTTGTTTTCGAATTATAAACATTTTTATAGACGTGAATATCGAGTAAATCTTTGAGAATCTACGCAATATATAAATTGATGTTATGACTTATGCATTATGGGCATTCAATTAAGTACCGATATTATTTTGACGGTATATTCAATTTCAATATACAAAGCTAGGAAGCAGGGAGACAGTGTTGTTTTGTCTTTTGAAATGTATGAACATTTCAGGCATGAATATTGAGAAAATCTTTGAGATTCTACGCAATATATAAATTGATTTTTTGCATTACGGGCATTCTATTAAGTGCCGACGGTACATTCATTATACAGAGCTAGGAAGCAGCGAGACCGTGTTTTCAAATGTATAAACATTTCAGACATAAATATTGAGAAAATCTTTGTTTACGTGTATAGCACAACGGTGCAAACTCGTGTTCAGTGCAACGAAAACTCTACCAGATCTTACGAGAATCTATCTGTATCAAAGCTTGTCAAAACTGCTATATAAACACTGCAATAACTGTGAAACTATTGAAATCTAAAGTTACATTATTGAATACATGCGAAAAGCTGAAAATGACTCATGAAACAACAACGTGACCTTCGAAATATATCAAAGGTCAATGAGACTTGTTATTGTGAACACGTCATAATTAGATTAAAATGCGGAAAGCGGATGCGGATTCACGGAACGGATATGGGAATAAAATGCGGATAAAATGCGTCATTTTAATGAGTTTTTCGCCTCTTATTTACGTTTCTGTGTTTTAGATTTATGTTCCTTTTTTGTAATGGAATACAACGTCGTAGTGCTTATTATTTATAACATATCTTATACAGCTATTTTCTCAAGTTGTCACTGAGACAAAAGCCAAAGTGTACAATATGGGCGCTAAAAGGATGGTGGGAATAATCACAGATTTAAACAAGTCACCTAAGTTGCCGGCGACCCTATATAGTGTCGTTTTCAATTGGAAACTTTACAACATCATAACAGAAATTATGCCTTGTGACTAATATTATATGAGGAAATAAATAATATTACATAACTCTCGTCATTCTTTAATCTTAAAGTATTAGATTTAAACCAGATCTTAGCATTTTTACTGTTGTAACAGTCACGCGCGCTACTACTGTACGTCATATCGACATGTGATTAAAGCTATAAACCACGCTTGAAAAACTATTCAATTAATAAGTATGTCAATATAGCGTTCGTCTTTGAAACTCTGTACTATCCTTGGATCCCTAGTTTAAAATACACTTTTCACTTGACAAGTTTCGAAAACACAATACAGCGTCAGGACACCATACATGCGCTACAATAAAAACATGACATATCAAAAGAAAAAGTATTGTACAAATTGAGATATCTATAAGGATACGAAACAAAATAGTTTTAAAAGAATATCATGACAAGGTTTTTCCCAACAGTCGGGATTGTTTTTGCTATTTGTTTGAAGTGCACGTTTCGGAGTTTTAAATTGTCCGTGAATATTGTTGGCAAAGTAAAATAATGAAGGAATCCTGCCTTTCAAGTTAAAGTGTTAAAAACAAAATTTTGTGCTTCTTTCGTTTTCTGGGGACGATTTCAATATTTCGTCGATTTTGAAACCAAATTTGACGAACCATTCTTTTTCAAAAGCATTATTTGCTAGTCTGTTAGTAAATATTACCATATATATATATATATTATATAATACCTTATTGAATTCTGATCGTTTAATTGGCTGTTTATGGTCACGTGATATTGAATAGAAAATTCCATTTCCCAAGAGTGCAATGGAATACGTTCCATTGCACTCTTGCGAGTGCAATTGTACTATACGTTTTATTCCATTGCACTCTTTGTGTTTTCAATAAATCGCATCCGTCAAAATGCTTCTCGTACGGTGATCGCAGTGTATTTTAACCCGATATTCGAAACTCAGTAAATGGGATTTAATGCAAATACATGACTCGTCAAAATGGCGGGAGCTTACAGTAAACTTTTTAATATATATTAGTCTATTTTGGTATTATATAAAACAAATAATGAATGTTTTTATTCGTGCAATGGTAAGAATATTTTCATTCGGTGAAAGATGGAATGTTCCATTCAACTCGGCTGTCGCCTCGTTGAATGGAACATTCCATCTTTCACCTCATGAAAATATTCTTACCATTGCACTCATAAACATTCATTATTTGTATACTAGTCAACAGCCAATCAGAACGCGCGAAAGCTCATTTGGTTTGCAAAATTTATACTAATTAACAACTGTTTTAGGCTTCTAAAAGGTGCTTTTGTCTGTCGGAAATAGGTTAACACCATACCAATGTATGGTGCTTTTAGAGGAATAGTATGTGCCTTTAATCTTTTCAATTCTTTCTTCGATGATTTGTTTGCAAGTGAATTTTCGGCAGCCATTTTGTTTTGAAAACAATATAGTTACTGCTCAGAGCAGTCGGTAACTTTTGCCTCAGAGTTACTGCTGAGGGAGCCAATCAGAACGCTTGAAAGCCATTTTTGAATATTGGATTTATACTCATATTAGTTATTTAACCAAATATAATAAATCTGAAAACAAAATGTATAAATAAATAAACAGCACCGCGACATTCGACAAGTCTGTTTTTAGTTCGCTTCATTTTATATTCTTATTGTATAGAGATAATTAAAGCAGTAAATATCAAGATTTTCCCGGGGTATCTCACTCATTTATAACTATTTTTTCCAAATCCCCTTTCAACAATTAGCTATATCGAGTGAGATGTCATGCCCAAAATACCCATACACCCTCCACTGACATCAACTTAGTATTTATACATGAACTTGTGGTTAGATCTCGAGAACTATCTCTCTGTAGCTTAGTTGGTTGGAGTGCTGCACCGGAATCGCAGGGCCGCAGGATCGATTCCTGCCAGTGGGCCTATAGTTGTATTTTTTTCGCAACTGCTCCTGATTAGGTCTAATAAATGTATAAAATTTACACGAGAAATTTCCATCTGCAAAATCCTTCAACACTTTGTGCTATCGAGTGAGATGCCCAAAATTTTGTAGTAACGTCTTGGCTTTTGCTACAAACTTGTACCAATAGGCGGTATTTTAGCGAGACTATACATTTATATATATAGTTTTAATTTTCATATTGTTTTTTAGACGGGTCAGTTGTTTGGATGCTGTTTATTTCATGATGACGGAAATAACTCCAATGCAATTTCTTTGTAAAGTTGTTTCTTGATAGTTTTTGATTAGAGTAGTTTCTAGCTCTTGCTTAGTATATTGTATACATTTTTTACTAAATAATAATTATTTTGAAACCGTTTTCATTATTTTTTTATTCGGTAATACTGGATGGGTTGGCTACGTACGTATATATGTGAAATAATGGTCCCATTCGCCAAAAAGTAAAGGCTATCTTCTTTGCTTGCTGACCATTTTTTTATATAAATTTATTGTCTACAGACACACTAAATCTGCAAATAAAAGAAACAACCCTCGACCTTAACCGCGGTGACAGACGTCCACTCGTCCAGCTAATAGTCAATATTATTTACTTTATTTCCTTTCATTGCGTATTCAGTTTGTATAGGACAATCAACTTATATATAGGACAATGAGATTATTGAAAAAAGATCATCAAGTGTAGATTAGTGTCAGATTAAGATTAGATTATACGGTTAGATTAAGATTATGTTAGGGTTAGAGGTTAGAGTTGGGGTTGGATTAGGATTAGGTTCATATATTCCAATAAGTTATTGCATACAATCGGTTTACAATTACAATAGATTATTGGTTGGAACGGCTGATCATCTATATATAATTACTGTGCTAGATTCTGTTCCGAAATATCACATACTCGAACCGACCAGAGCGCGTAGCTCAGTTGGCAGAGCATTGGGCTAGTATTCCAAAGGTCGTAGGTTCGATTCCCACCGTGGTCAGGCATATTTTTCAAGCTTGCCCGGTGTGGATATACACTCAGAGTAACATCACAAGCATCCTATTCACCTGAGTACATTACACCAACACAGAAAAATCATGATTATTATTAGATAACATTGATATCGAAGGAACTAGATTCTGTTCCGAAATATCACATACTCGAACCGACCAGAGCGCGTAGCTCAGTTGGCAGAGCATTGGGCTAGTATTCCAAAGGTCGTAGGTTCGATTCCCACCGTGGCCAGGCATATTTTTCAAGCTTGCCCGGTCCGGATAACACTCAGAGTAACACCACAAGCATCATATTCACCTGAGTACATTACACCAACACAGAAAAACCATGCAGTTAAACGCATATACATATTTTAGCTAGTAACAGCAGTAAGGCAAAAGATACAAGCCTTATTGCTGTTACTAGCTAGGGCTGTCCGCATCAAGATTCGAGTTACCATATTCTGTAAATTTCTCCCCAAAAGGTTAGTGAGAAAGTTCCATAATCGGCTGGTGCGTTCGCTTGGCAAAAAGCCCAAAATTGCTTTCGCACAAAATTGCAGAATTGCTGTCGAACGCCACAAAAATTAGTGCTCGACTCTAAAATTAGTGCTCGAGTTACATGCAATATAGTCGGCATAGTCATTTGTGACAACCGTTATATTTCAGAACCATCCTCAGAGATAGGAAACTAGTTTCATATTAATCTGACACTGCAATCGAGCAACGAAAAATTCGTTGGCTCGAGCGGGATTTGAACTCGCATCTAATTCGGGTATCTAGACCGCCGCTCTACCTATTGAGCTATCGAGTCAACAGGGATTGGTAGCGAGTCTTATCCAATTTAAGTGCAAGATTAATATGAAACTAGTTTTCCTATCTCTGAGGATGGTTCTGGAATAGAATTGAAACACTGCGCGTCCTCCAAGACAAGCGTTAAGTCGTCACGAAAATATTTCGTGCACTTAAATTGGATAAGACTCGCTACCAATCCCTGTTGACTCGATAGCTCAATAGGTAGAGCGGCGGTCTAGATACCCGAAGATGCGAGTTCAAATCCCGCTCGAGCCAACGAATTTTTCGTTGCTCGATTGCAGTGTCAGATTAATATGAAACAACCGTTATATATATGGGCTATAACGATTCCAAAGCTACAAAAGGAAACATTTACTTTTCTGTTAAGAAAAAGATATTAAAAATAAAAAATAATATTTTCGTGAAAAATGCGTTTTTCAGCACATTTTATGACCCACGACTTTACCCACACTCACGACACACGACTTTTAACCCACGACACACGGAGTAGGGATTATAAGTGTTGACAAATGTGTTAGTTCAAAGCACAGTCGAACCTCTATTAAGCGGCCACCCTCGGGGATCGGCTTTGTGACCGCTTAGTAGAGGTGGCCGCTAAATAGAGGTACGCAAATAATAGACCCTGGGCGTAGTCAATGCTTTTGAGGTGTAAAGTGGCATGTGTTAAAACATAATGTTTAAGCCTTATTTTACAAATAAAGCAAATTAGCTCGACTCTTATTTTCGGCTCTCGTGACAAGATGTTGCGCCAAATAAATCCTGCAGGCTGGCCGCTTAATAGAGGTAAAAATTGACATAAAACATCATTTGGGACCGCTATTTGGGTGGCCTCGGCCGCTTAATCGAGGTGGCCGTTTAATAGAGGAATAGTTTATAGTATTTGTATTTCAAAAATTTCGGGACTTCGATATGTGCCCGTTTAATAGAGGGTGGCCGCTTAATGGAGGGCCGCTCAATGGAGGGCCGCTTAATAGAGGTTCGACCGTATAGTGATAGTATATATGGATATTCGATACCAGCACATGGGTATCATCAGTCAAGGGCAAATCTTTAACAATCTATGCATTGATTTAGCCTGTTCTTTCTTTGAACGTATAATAAATGCAAATTCATTTATTACACTTACAAATTTTGCTGCAATTTCTAGTGCGATTTTATCCTTCTGATGGATATGAACGAGTAGATGAGTTACGAATGTTCTGCGTACATGTGTACCCTCATCTGAACATTCATATCTCATCCACTCGTTCACATCCATCAGAAGAAGAAAATCGTACCTAAAATCGCAGCACTAGAAAATTGCAAGTGTAAACAGGGCTTTAGAAATAAAATTGTGTAAAATTCATTGGTTGTCACGGTTGATTCACAGATTCAGTACACTGGCCCTACAGTCCTCAATTCAAGACAGCTACAACAATAGGCAAATATGTCATCTGACAAGAAACACGCTGTACTTTATCTTTGACTCTATTTGAAATTATTGGTAATCGAAAGTCCAGGAAAATAGTAAAGTCAGAACTTATAGACAACGTATGTATTAAAGACATGGCCGTTCTATCTTTCAAATTTATAGCGCCCCTAACCACCAATTTTTTTCTTATCGATAGCAAATCACTTGGTATGATTGTTCCAGTATTTCTGCGAAAACAAAAATGAATCACTTCTGCAAATTCTCCTAATTTTATGACAGATTAAAATTGGCACAATGGCACTTTTTTGATGGATCACTTCCGTGGAGTCTGGAACGAGTGAATTTCGTGACGTCATGCGAGTACCCGTCAAATTTTCGAAGTTCAAAGACATGAGTAGCATGACAGTAGGTTCAGCTCTATAAGGCCTACTTTGGGGGCCAAGGTCGCCGTTATTATGTGCAACATTGTGCGACATTAGGCGACATTGGCAATTTTCAAAGAAAAGTAGTGTGCGTCGCTGGGCGAAACTGGGCGACATTGGGCGACATTAGGCGACATTGGACAAAACTGAACAGTAATATCCAGATAACGTCAAATATTATAATTCACAAATTATGCATATACATAGAAAATACAACAGTAAATATCAAAATATAATTTAGTTATCAAAAATTGGTTCCTGTGGCAAAGAACACAATTAGTTTATTACAAATATCAAAAAATAACAAGGAACATTTATCTAACTGCTAGCCTGACAATTTACTCCAAGTTTATACCGTAGTACACATACATGCCCATGCAGTGCATGGTACATTTACAGTATCATGGAACTCTGACTTCTCATTAAATTGACTGGTGTAAACACCTCATAGAGTTTTAAAACCTGTTTATGGACTGTGGTATGCAGTGATGGAAGTGAAAGAATTGGCATTTAAGGTAAATAAATTGTCAGCTAGCTAGCTATCATAAACGTGTACCATGTAAATCATGTACCACCATAACCATGCTTGAAATCTAACCCACCAAACTGGCAAACAAATATCTCAAATAGTGATAACTATAAATCTTATAGTTTCAATAAAAAATGGAACTTACTTTCAAAGCAAACAGATAGAAAAAGGTTTAATCCATATACATTTGTATAACTATACTGACTTACTTTACTAAAATTA